GAACCTGTAGAAGTTCTGTATCGTTACCTTCGTACAGAGGTTACTGATCAGTTGATAATCCATCAGCTGCACAACTCGATGTGCTCAGTAACCACATACTTGGCTTCGTATCCATTTTCTCAGGAGCTTTAGGGTCTTCACTGCATCCTTTTTCTCGCGGCGCACGAAAAGTGTTATTTTCAGCAGATCAGATGAGGCGCTGTTTCTCTTCCATCAGACTAAAGACTGCAGTTCTTCTTGATCGTATCATGTCCTCTTTTGGTTCTCTGCAGGGTAGAGTTTAGTCATGTTTTTCAAAATTTCTAGAACATTTGTCAACGTGAAGGAGCTATCCCTGATTGTCGGTCAAACGCTACAGTAGCTCTAATACCAGAGACATCGACAGTTTCTAATCTTGGAGACTATCTATCATTCTTCTTAAAACTTTGGAGACACTCATTCGGTTACCATTCCAGAAACAGCTGAACGGATTGAAGCACAGTTGGCAATTACCATTTGCGCGTGGCCGTTCAACCCTATACGCTATCGCCGGTTTTACCGAGTGACTTACTTACTTCATCAATTGATTCTAGATGTGCTACTCTAGACAAATGTTCTTAGAGCTCTCCTCATTTTTCAACGTCCTACCACTGCTTTCGATTGCTTATTCCAGTGGCTTTTCAGCTACTTCTCAAATCGCCATCAGTATAGTGCTGCAGGGAATCACTGCCCGCTGACGGATAAAAACAATTTAGGTGTAATGCATGGTTCCGTTCTATTGCCGGTACTTTTCAATTTCTACCTGATTGCGTTTAATGCTGTCCCTTCAGTCTTATGTGTCAAGTATGCAGATAGCATGGTTCGACTCTAAGTCATCAGTAATGAACCCAGGTTGTCTAAAATTCAACACGCTGCAAATGTGATTGAGGTGTGGATAGCAAGCAGCCGTCTGATATTAAATTGATTCAAGTGCTCCCAACTAAGCTGTCACAGGAAGAACGTGATATCCGATAAAATAACCTCCACAGCCAACCGTCCTGTAACCATGGAGGTCGAGCCTTTACCGTGCAGTAACACTGTCAGATACCTGGAAATCTTGCTGAACGATAAGTTCAATATGTCGGATGACGTTTTTCGGTGTTCTTGAAAGTACGCAGAGGGTCGTATTTTGCTGTTCTGCTTATTAATGTATCGATCCAAACATCTAGAGAAATAATGAGTAAATGTATCTGCGGGTGCCTGGTACCGTCGCTTACTTATACTGGCGCATTGATATTTGCGGAGTAAACACTACAAGCAACTCAAAACAGCGATGACAGTGATTTTCCGCATAGCAGAATCCTTGTCGAGGAAGTAATTGATCGGTTCTCTACAACAATGATCGAAACAGTTTATCGTCCGAACCAACCATTCCTAATCGACCCTAGCCACCCGTCGCATGTGAATTTCATGAAATCGACTTCCATACATCCTGAAACTCTTGAATCTTTATATGGCTATCCGTGCGTGCGGGACTCTGTCGTCGGTTGGTCTTGCCTTTTCTTACCAGAGGTCTTCGGCTGCCTTGAAGAAAAAAGGTTGCTTGGAAATTCCTTGAGTATGCGAATTTTATGGTGGTAGTGTATGACTTAGTGTCTAACTTTCTCAGAGTTTCTCTGTAGAATGCCATTGATTTTCACAATTGAGATGGGACTCTACTATGCTGAAAGTAACTTGTAGTTGTTCAAGGATATAAACTTGACTGGATGATTGATTGATTCATTTATATCTAACTGACTACACGAGCATAATATATTCCTACACCATCGTTACAGTTCATAATTCTTTATACCATTTATTTATTATTACTACCGTTAATTAATTGTGCATCATGACTGTATAATCATGTAGAGAACTTTCTCCGCGCTTATGGTGTATAGTCATTCACCTAGTTACCTTTCGTTACCACATGATAAGCATAATAGTTTTGATTAGTCTTATCAGCATTTTATTTTTAGCCAAAATATTTTTGATCTTTCTGTTTTAAGGAAACTATTGGTTAATTTGTATGCGGTTTCACAGGGTATGTCATCTAGGGATGATATGAATTCATGTAGAACTATGTTACTACCGTATCTCTTTCGAGCTTCTAATAATCGACGCTTTATTCTCGTTTAGCCATTAAGCAGTACAAACCGACCGATGCCACGACTAACCCATCCTTGATTCTACAGGCGTCTACACTTCCGCAGTACGCGAAGCTGTTGGACGAAGCGGTATCGTATGCAAAGAAGCACAGCAGGTTAAACTGAAAGCAGACGCCGCTAGAGAGACATTTCTGAAATCTACAAAGCGCCTTTTCTTCTGTTTCAGATGTGATTCTGACCTTCTACCGCTTGCGCTCGATAAATTGTATGTTTTGTTTGGTACGAGCATCTTGAAAATCATTCCAGGTCGGGTATCGACAGAGGTCGACGCAAGGTAATAAAGAAAGAATCACAGATTTTGTTTCCGTTGTCTTAATCTAAAAAATTAAGCAAAATATTGCCATGAAAACTGCTCAAGTCTGAAATGTCACAAGTAGTGTACCCCTTTCACATATTAATATCCAAAAGTTACTGATCTAGGTCTTCCTTTTGAATGTGTACCATACAGCCTCCTGAATTTGTGTTCACTCGATGCGTTGCACTGCCGACTGCTTAATGTTTTTATAGAATTATAAATCAGTACACCTCCATAATATTCTTCTGTATTATGCTATTATCTAGCCGTAATAAATGACGTTGTTAAAAAATTGGTAGAATTATCATATTGAACGATGCCTAATGGTAAGTTTATCATATAGAAAATTTGAAGCATTTCGCGTCATACGTAGCCTCTCGATAGCCATCGGAATATGCATCTGTAGCTTACGAGATTTTATATCTGCATCGCCGAAATCTTGTACCAGGTTTGATCCAAATATCGATTTGGCTAAACATACTTCCGTCGTTTCACAGTAACCTGAATCCATCTTCAGGACATGTTTTTGCCAACTAGAAACAACATATTGTCAGTAATGCTGCTCCATTCCCTCTAAAATGCCAATACGACTGGTTAATTTTTATACTGAATGTATGTTTTACTTGTGTGATGTAACGCTGTGTTGTAATCTTACATACCTGTTGCTAATGTTATTGTAATTGATGCATGTTTTAGCTCATGCTGAAACATAAAACGTGTTTCGCTGTTTGTCTTCCTTGCCTTTTATTTAACTATTTTCTTCCAGATTGGCGATAGTTCCTATCAATTTTCTCTTTAGAAATTCTGTGTGGAGAGATTTTCTGTAACTTACTTTTTAGTTGCATTCCAATGTAAGTTATTGGAATTTTCTTTCTCAATTATATAATACTTAGTACGTTGCGATATAACAGAATATATTCCTTTTATTACGAAGCAAATCTCCACCGTTTCGAATTATACTTTGTGAGAATTATAAATGGATTTTCCTCCTTGAAGATCGGTCGTATGTAGTTCGTAA